GGAATTTTCAAAAGATCAAAGGAAAATGCAGAATCAAAGGAGAGAAAAGATAGAAATGGATGAGGTTACTGGTTATTGTTTATATGATGAGCGATAGTATATGAAAAAAAAATTAGTTGAAGAACAAACAGGAAGGAAAGATTAAATAAAGGAAACAACATGAGAGTATTAATATATATGTTATTGTCAAAGGTGCAATGAAAATTCGAGGACGAATTTTCTTATAAGGATGGGAGATTTGTAACATCCTCAATACCGGGTTAGTGATCAAAGTGTAAAATTTTAGATTTTGGTGATTAAAGTAAAATAGTTGAATAGTTTAATGATTTATTTGAGGATATTTCCTGAAAGTAGTTTTAGTAATTATCCAAAGAATTAAAGGGCAAAATGGTCATTTGACAATAAAAGATATTTTTATCCCCTTTAATAGGAGATTAAGACGTGGAAGATGAAAACATTTTTATTTCTTCTTCCTTTTCCCGTAAGAGCTCAAAGGCAAAGGTAAGTTTCTTCATTAGTTGATTATTTGTTTAATTAAAGGTTGGGTTTTGATCATTAGATGATAATTAAGCTTAAGGAAAACTTAATTTGTTCTAAAATAATAAGATGAAAGGTATAGGAGAGATTAAAGATTTTGAGTTCTTGAATGAAATCTTGAAATAGAATTGATAAGTTGAATTTGACTTGTCATCTATGAGAATAAGAAGTTAGAAGTGTTAGAATTAAGTTTGGATAACATGAAAAATTTGGTATGATTATTGATTTCTATATGGAGAATATAATTTTGAGGTTTAAGATTAAATAAATGGATATAAATTAGTTTAAGTATGTATAATTGAGTTAAGAATAGAAAAGTGAATGAAACATGAAGAATTTAAGTTGTTATAGTGAATTTTCGGGCATGAACAGTGATTTTCTGGGTTTAAATGAAATTTCCAGATTGTGCAGGGGGTACAGATTCCTCCCTGGGGGGTATCGATTCCCCCCTAAATGAAAAAAATGGAATTTGGTTCATAAAACCGGTTTAAGTTATTAACATCAAGTTTAAAGTTTAGGCTTCTGATAGTTATTTTTGAAATGTTATATTTATGTAGATATTGAGCCTAAACAAGTTCCGGAATAATCAAAGGATTGGGATTGAATCAAAACAAGACTAAGGTGAGTGCAATTTAAATTGTTCTTATGTTATAGAACGAACATTGGCTTGCGAAGAGCCAGTGACGAATTTACTATGGTAAGAAGTAAATTCTAAAATGCTTTGTGATTTATATGTGTTAACATGTTATAATATATGTTACATGATTTGCACAAGTATATGTTAGTGTGATAAGTCATATGAAACAATATAAATAATCTATAAGATTATATAAGAATATGAAATATGTTATAGAAATTACATGATGACATGTTTGTTCCTCGGTGTTGTGATATATATGTGTTATTTGATATGAATATGGTAAGTAAAAGGGGTTAATGGGAGGATAAGAATAATAAGGATAATGAAATGACAAGTATATTCGATCCAAGTTATGTGAATATATGAGAATACATGCCTATGTGATGAGCTATGTGATGTATATACGAACATATGTGAACAAGATATGACATGCGTACATGGACAAATGAGAAATGATATATGTTATATGATATGGACATATGTGACTACGTGAGAAAGAATATATGTCTATGAGAAGGCATAAGAACAAAGTATAAGCTATGTGACATATGAATATGAATTATATGGAAATGTTCTACGTGTAAGTGAACAATGTGATGATATGATATGTGATAAATATGAAAAATAATGCCCATGTTATGTGTCATGAGATCTAGAGGTATAGTTGGCATGCCAAGAGTAGAGGGTCTATGCGGTCCTTCAAGACAAATTCTACGTGGTCCTTCGGGACGTATATGTATTCTTTGGAGCATGTATGAGGTCCTTTGAGACACCTACTTGATCCTTGGTATATGTATATGATTCTTAAGGAATTTATTTGTGGTCCTTATGGACAATCTTATATGGCACTTCGGTGCATTTCTACGCGGTCCTTCGGGGAAATTTCGACGTGGCACTTCGGTGCAATTTATACGAGCTGTGGTGACAGCATTTGTGCACAACCTCAGTGTACTCACATACCTTCAGTTCTCACCAGTGTACCATGGGCTAATAAAGAGACACTAACAAATACAATATATAAGATGCATATGCTTATGATGGTATGAAAGGTATTGCATGGATTATAGGATGCTATGTGTGCTTCTTTGTGAAATATATGTGTTCTATGATATGTATAGAAATGTTCGATACATGCTTATATGATCACAAGGAATTAGTAACAATAATATGAGTATTGAAAGGCGTGTTAATGATATATGTTTTTGTATAATATGATAGTATTTGCATATGTATACCTTTTGTTTATATGAAATGATATATGGTTATAGTTTATGTTTAATATGCCTCACTAAGTCAACGACTTAGCGTGTGATTGTTTCACGCGTAGGTTCCGAGAAGAGGAAGATTGGTAAAAGTTATGCAAGACAGGTCAATTTCTCATTTCCAAAGATTAGATCAGAAAATAAATGTATAGTATGTATTTTGTAACAATGATAGTAGTTGGCATGTAAATAAAGGTTTAAATCCGATATGTTTTAATCGGTTTTGTAAAATCATATGATTGAATTTTATAATGTTTTAAATGTATATATATATGTAAATGGTAAATGTATAGAGATGAACGTTATAAATTTTATGAATTTATACGTATTTTACGAAAGTTACTGTAGCAGTACCGTAGCAGGGTATCGGTTCCCTTATTTGAATATGGAAAATTTTAACATTCGGGTACTGTAGCATGTACTGTTTATACGGTACTATTTATACGTATTTTACTGTTCATAAATATGTTTTTGATTGGAAATTTTATACGAAACACAATTTAATAGAATATTGTGGTATTTTCCTAAAATGAGTTCAAATGTTTTAATATTTTGTAAGAAAAAGGTTTTGAAAAGTCAATGTGACATCTCAGACTCGTATTCGGGTAGGATACGGGTTGGGGTGTTACACGTCAACTTGTCCGGAATTTTCTTTCGCTCGATATCTACACAATTATACGATCCATATAAATATAGGATTTCAAATTACTCTAATAAATTCTTAATTATATAACCTAAACAAAACACTTAATTCAATATTTCACTTGGAATAGTATTGATACTCAAAGTATAGTACCGATACTATACTTCAATATCGATACTATACTTCAATATCGATACCCTTACTGCATTCTAGAATTTGTTTCAAAAATGGTACTGATACCTAAACATTGGTATCGATACCTCTAGTACCGATGCTACTACTCCGGTATCGATATCCTTTGAAGAATTCATCCTAATTATCCTTATGGTATCGATATTGTTCTTCCAGTATCGATACTCAGACCCAAATTTCACTCATTTTCTCTGAAGTATTGGTATTGTTCATCCAGTACCGATACCCCTTGCCCAGAACATACTAATTTAAACCCGAAAATTTATTATCACTTATACAAACTTCATACTTTTAGCTCTTTCCATTACTTCAAACTCAATAATACTCACTTAAACCATCTTATATTACTTTAACACATCATAATATTAAATATCTCACAATAACACTTAAAACTCAAAATCTTATCAAATATTCAACTTTGTTATAAATCCTTTCTAACCTCATAAATCTCTTATTCTTACTGATGACAAGTTAAATATGACTTAAATATCCATTTACAACCCCTTACTCAAAGATTCACTTAAAACCCTTTAATTTTCAATCCCCCATAATTTGCCATTCTTTTTGTTTCTATTACTCTTTAAGATTCCATAAGCTTTCCTAATAATCCAAGAACCAAAACCACACATGAAATATAAGAAATAACCAACTGAAATATTTCTTACCTTGCTATGAAACTCACGGTGAGAGAAAGAAGAAAGGAGGAAGAATGATTCTAGATATCTCTGATTTTTCTTTCTTTCTTTCTCCCCCTATTCCACGTGTAATATAATACCCCATAAATGAATTTTTAATTCATTTCCTTATCAAATGATCAATATACCCTTCCATCCTTCCTTCTTTACTATTCAAACCTACACAAAGATATTCCAATTAAGTCCTTGAACTTTCCAATCTTACAAAATTAAACATGAAATTTTAAAATCTTGTAATTTGGACACTAACTCGGTGTTTGGGATGTTACATAAGGACTAATTTAGCATGAAAATCATAGTTTGGGGATCAAATTAGAATTTTCAAAGTTTAAGGATCAATTTAAAATGAGGGTTATAGTTCGGGGATATATAATGCAATTAACTTAAAAATAAATGTTAAGTATGATTTTGAAACAAATAAAATTTCAGGTATTATAACGAAACAAAACTAATAGTTTAAGTATTAAGCATATAGTTTACCCTATTATAAATCAGTGATATATCCACGACCTCGATGCCAACACAATATTATCTGTCATTTAACGTAAATGTAATTGATTAATAAAAGAAAAAAAAGAAAGATAGGTTATACGTATACATATCTACTAAAGTGAAAAACAGAGATAGAATCGATTAATATTATTCGTTTTATTTCGTATTTTTTATGATTTTGAGTTGGTTAAAGGTTGTAAATTACCGATTGTTACAACAAAATCTTTATGCACTTCCTTCTTCTTTCCGTTATTACTATAATAACTCTTTTTCGTCCACTGTCCCTAGAGCAACTTCGATTGGTTCAGATTATGGTGGAACTTTTAATGAAACGCGTTCCTATTAAATAAAAAAAAAAAGTCTAGGCTTGTTTTACGACCCCATCTTCAAGTTGGAATTTCTTTTTCAGTGAACAAATACACTACCAGTTTATTTACTGAAAATACGAAAAAAGACTAAATAAAACAACAAATTTGATAAATATTATACTTTACATTCGGAAGAAGTTTTAGCTCATAAGTTTAGTGCACGAACTACAGAAAATCCCTTTCATATGTAAAAAATGGAATGCGTTCTTATAGTACATCTCTCAGCACTGTACAAACGGTAAATCAAACCTTCAACAACGCCGGAATTTGGGTCGAACAGTAATAAGTCCTAGCCTCACTTCATCAAGCGATATCTACAAACATATCATCATTCTCAACATTAATTATAGAGTTAGATGAAGTCACTTTATCATGTGTTTTCATTTAGCCATTATCGGATAAATCAAGACAATTAATGCGTCTGTTCCAATATGTTCTTCAAAAATTTGGTAGGGTGTGTGTGTCGTGGAACTTGATTGAAAAAGGGGATAAGGGGAGGGCCATCAAATGTCTCACCCATTTTCAATGAGGAAGCCTCTCACGGCTGTGGGGAGAGCGGCTTGTCCACGACTATGATTCCCTACACCTGTTGTTGTGGTAAATAAAAGCATCAGTGCAAGTGCATTTTTATGTAGAAACCAACCAACGTAGTCAATTTAACCAGGCACCGACTAAATTATTTTTGGAATGTTTCTTCTCCTATCGATACATAATGTTCACAAGCAATGTCTCCATAGAAAATCCCAATTAATAGGAATCTGGCAAGTATTTCTCTAATGAAGCAAAATTACCTGTTATAACTTGCAATGATGCAGGTGTCTGCCTAGATGAAGCCTGTGGTTTACCCAGTTTAACCGTAGAACTAACTGTGCCAACAGATGAAAAATGTAGAGTCCCTTTTTTTGCCTTTACTTCGTTTGGGGAAACTGAACGGCCTCCTGATACCTGAGTCTCAATCCGCCTCAAATGTTCCTGCAAGGCTTGCACAGCTTCTGTTGCATGAAGTCCATGTAAGTCCAATTTCCACATGTCATTGTCACAATTTCTGATGCTTAAAATTTCTCTAGCAGCCTTAGCATTAAGTCTCTGTGCAGCTAACCATTCTTCTCGAGCATTTTGAGCTGTTGCGCAGCAAAGTGGTCACCTCTAAAAAATGCATTAGTGGCAGCCCTAGAATGTTGAGATGCTGACCTGTTCAGCAGGTAGAATACATGAAAAGGAAATCTCAGCATCTATATATGGTAAGCAGAATGTACAAAATTTAATTTCTATGATCCCATATCAACAAGAACATACAAATCAGCACAGTACTATGGACCGTATGAGATATAAATATAGAAAAAAGAATGTCCTCCAAACCTTGCAACATTCAGAGACGAACAAAGTTTGGGGAGGAGAATTGCTTAATGATAATAAAACTTAAATTACAATTTATTTGTATAATATACAAACAAGAATTCCTAGATGTACTTTAATGTGATAATATGGGTATGTTCATAAATTTATTTACAGGTAAGTTCATACATTTATTTGCAGCATTTCTACCATTTCAAAATGTACCAATGCCATTGATCATCAACTTTATGACAGACTTGATGAAACTAGCCATGTCAGCATCATATTAAGTCTTTCAACCTGCCTACCCTACTTTTACGAATTGCAACATGGTGTACAATGGAAAGGGGTTAAAGCATTTTTTTTCTTGGAGCCCAACTAACTTGATTCTGATTGCCGTATAATGTTACAGAGGCATTTTGGCAGAAAAAGCTGATAAGCTCAAGAGGCTGATTTAGAATCCTTGATGTGTGAGAAGAAAGGTGATTAAAGTCAAACTTCACTGTATGTTCTATTAATCCCAAACTTATACATTCCAACAGATGCATAGAACAAATATCATGAGCAGTTTAAAAAAGATTGGCAATTTGTCAGAAAGGGGTTTAATCAATATAGAATTAAAACCTAAAGAGACCAGCTTGATATAAACTTAAAAGTAACATTTGATAACACAAGAAGAAAAGAGGATAGAAATAAGAATCACTTCTGCGTGATTCAATAAACTTTCAATAACTCAATATTTACATAAAGGAAATGCTAAAAGATGGTATAAGATAAAACAACCCTTATCTCTCAATTCTCCTATGATTCAAGAAGTCCTGAGAAGTAGGAATTAGATAAAATTACAATTCATTTAGAGATTTTTTCTCCATTAGAAGGTTTTATACTTTCCTCTTCTCCATCATTATTGATTTTGAAAACGAATAAAATTAAGGAACTTTTCACAACACTTCTGAGTAGTGATGCCATTATGTGTTTGCTTAGGAAATTTCAAAGGCCTTAAGCCACATGTTCAATAATGTTTTAAACTAGTGATCTTTTCAAAAGCCTAACTATTTAAGAAAACATCACTATGCACTCATATCTTGCTTAAACCACAAGAAACCTTACATGTCATTGTATCACAGGGCTGTACATGCAACACATTTACAATCATGCAAGATCCAAAGCCATAGCAAAGGTGATAAATGAACATGCATGTAAAAGCCATAATTATGAAAAGTCAAGCCTAGTGTATGTGTGTATTATAATATAAACCCTTGCAATCATACCTCATCATCCTTATAGCATCCTTTCGATGGCTCAAATATACATCATCTTCTTCCCATTCAAGCTCAATAGGTATAGAGCTAACTGCCCCGGAATCAACTTCATATTAGAGTGATCAAAGAGTTTATTCCTTTCCACATCTGTCAACATTTTAAGATTTTCATCCTCCTCATCGGCTTTAGAGCTCTGGCCAACATGATCAGCTGTGTTTCCTGAAGGAAGACTTGATTACAGTTGGCATTGGCTGGAAAATTAGCAATGGTGGATCCCATCACATTATTTTTTGCTTCCTCTGTATCCTCAGGGCCGCTTCTGGGCATCATTTCTTTCAATAAGCTGAAGCCTCATGAATATCATTATTGGTAGCGGACAATATGTCCTCAATCAAACTATTTTCAGCCCAGCAATGCATCTCTTTAAGCTTTTTAAGGGCTATATCATTATTGTTTACCACAACCATCTTCTCTTCATTTCCAATAGGCTTTCCCATGTTTGTTGACTTTATGGAATTTTTATTCTGTTTAAAAGTTGGAAAATTGCCAGAAGCCTTCAGCACAGATGAGAAAGACTTTGCTGAGAGATCATTGTGATTTGTCTGGCTTGTGCAGGGATGGAGAGCTGCCAAACTAATTGCTATAGGAGGGAAAGGGTCATTTTTCAGTTTCGGTACCAGTCCTTGTTTCTGCCTCTGCTTAAGATCAAACGCAGTCCAACCTGATAATTTGTCTTTACCTCTTGTAGAAGACATCTTTTTAAAAGGGGCTGATGGGAAGATTCATTTTGATCAAGTATTAATTGCTGAAATTGAATACAAGTTCCTTCACTCCTCTTCTGTTTGTAAGACTTGACAAGGAGCGAAACAGTTCTTGGAGTGACCTGAAAAAAGATACAGTCTACTGTTCGTTAAAACTGAAAAGATTACAGCCAGCCTATTGAACAAAAAGTATCTGCCCTAAATCAGCATGACTAGAAAATCTCAACCATTCTTCCCATTCACCAATTATCTTGACAAGCAATACCAAATAAGTTTGCGAAGGGGGGGGGAGAGAACAAAATCAATGGCTTGAGGGTTCGAAATGTTCTTAAAAGGTTCTATGGTACTTTGTTCATATAAATACCCATCCTGACATAAATCAAATACTTTTGCAGAAAAATACGGCAGTATTAAAAAAAACCTAAATTCGAGCACAAGAAAAATCCAAACCAGCAAGCACAGAGTAAGCCCTAACCATTAGTATTACTTGGAACCAAAAAACAAACAGAAAGCGAAAAAGGCGAATTCCAAAATGGAAAAAAAAAAACTCAGGAACGATCATACAAAGCTTATGGTGCTGCCAGGCTTGAATCAACACCAACTGAGAAAATAATATATGGAATTCCTAAAACTGAAACAATTAAATAAACAGTAAATCAGGAAGCCAACATAATACATACCTCAACTCTAAATAGGAAACGAATAAGAATTAGGGTTACGGGAAAGGAATAAGCGAAACCAAGGCGTGAATCGTTCGAAAGCAATATCAGAAGGCAGCTGAAAATTGAGTTTGTAAAGCACCAGGTTCATGATGATGTTCAAATCCATATCCGACAATAATCCAATACCGCAGCCTCTGCATCTATTCTCCATAGAGAAAAATAAAAATCCTTCTCCTTCTCCTTCTCCTTCTGCTTCTAGGTCTCCTTCTCTTCCTAAAACTTTCTTCTAACTGAAGGCACCGACAAAAGAGTTTTAGAGGAAACAGAGTTATCCTCCAGCCAGAGGTGATGGCCGACAGAGGTCGATAAGAATTAGGAGACGACTATTGTTTTTGCTGTTATATTTGGTGTTCTATTTTTTTCAATAATAAAAATATGAAAATACATTTGATTATCTATTTATCTTATAATAGAAAATAAAATTCCTACTTTTATATAATTCGAACTAAGATTATTGTTTTTTTGGGATACATATTCAATTAAGATTAGTGATATAATATTAAAAATTGTTTTAAAAAATATCTCGACTATATGGATTTAAATACTAGTAAATTCATTAGGTTAGAAGTCCCTTATTTTTAACTTTTTAATTTTATAAAACTATTTCAGTTAAAAAATGAAAATATTTTTTTTACTATTTTTCTATTTTTTAAATATTTTTATTTTTTAAAAATTCAACCAAACATGGTTTTTAGTATTTTTCATTTCTTAAGAAAATTAAAATGAAAATGGTCTTTGTATAACTATCCAAATTTTAGAATCAAGGTTCGAATGTTGATTTGAGTCAAAATAATTCAAATAATGAGTTTAATTGAACTTGATGTGCTATTTTTAAAAAATGATTTGAAACGTGATGTAAAAAGTATTTTTTAAAAATATAATTTAAAATTTAACAGTTTGTGACTACCGTTAAAATGTGATTTTGAAAAGATAAAATATTTATTTTAGACATTACGTTGTAAATTGAAAATATATTATTTAAGGACAAAAATATAATTTCACTCAAAAGTGATTTTCCACAGCCAAGGCTATAAATTTGAGTTTCTGAGGTTAGGTCGAAAATCACTTTTATGATCATGATTTTAAATCATTTTTTTTAGATGTTGAGCATTGCTTATGGGTGAAAATCACTTTTCCATGGTCAGAAACATTCTCAACTGAGTTTATTTGAATCAAGGTGAGAGGATCTAAAGTGTAATTTCTCATTTATAAAATCATGGTTTGACTAGTCTTATTTGGACATAGCTTCAAGGGCACAATAACTAAGCAATTTAAATGATCATGTCATGGTTTGACCACTCTTGTTTGGACATAAACTTCTCAAGCTCGAAGTATACATATTCCTATACGAGTATGGTTTAGATCTCACCTTATTCATTAATCTCATCATTGCCAGCTCATGACTCACCTAAAGCCATGTGAACATGTATGCTTTTTCATACACATAGAAGATTAAAATCTGAATATCATATAGTAGAGGGACTAAAAACATGAATAAACCTAAATGATTTCCGGTTAACCAAAGCAATAAAAAGGGCCGAGGCCCAAATAAGAGTCCAAAACACGATCCGAGAAGAATAAAAGCTAGTGTCTCCACAGTCCATCACAAAGTTGTCGGTGATCGGTTCGTTCGGACTTCGGGAACAGAAGGTAAAATTTTCAGCCAAATTTGCTTCTCAATCTCGTTTGTCTTCGGAAAATCATGGTAGAGACATAATGCTTTATATGTTTTGCCTCACTGTTTTTGTAGCAACTGAAAGCCAAGACGAAGATGCAAATATTCATCAAAACTCTAACGGGGAACTATCACCCTCGAGGTCGAGAGCAGCGACACCATCGACAACGTCAAGGCGAAAATTCAGGTTTTTCTTAATCCATTCTGTTACACATAATATAATCTTCGATTTTGATTTTTTGGCTATCTTTTCAGGGTTTTGTTTTTCCTCTTGCGAAACTGATAACTTAGTTTTATAGGAGAACTAAATCTTTGTGAATGATTCCTTTATTATATATTTTTTCGTGTGTGGTTATTTTAATCCTCTTATGAACTACAAACTTAGTGTTAAAGAAGATCTACTATTACTGCTTTTCTGTTACTCAGGGATGACAATGTGTTGTAAAACATTCGATCCAAAATTAACCAATCCTTTTTTCTTTTTGTGGATTTAGATATTATATTTGTTATTGCGATGGATTTGAAGCAAATTCAGATGTGAACTGGATATGGGTTACCGAAATTCATTTTCATTTTGGTTCAAATGGTGTTGGATATTGAATTCGTTATCCAAATCCACTATGTTTATGCGGATAGTTTATTCGAATATCCTTATCTGACATCTATTTACATATTTAGTTATTTTTTAAATGTTTTAATGAGTTGGTACATTTAGAAACTTTGGATTTTCAATGGATATTGCCATTTGAAATCAGATGCAGCTACATATAGAAAATAGTAAACAGGTTTGTATCTGGAATAAATTGAGCAGATTTGCATTTGAATATTTAAAAATTAAAAATATCTGATTGGCGTCGTTGTAGTAATGACCATTGTAGAAGAAATATTGAAGTGATGGTAAATCGAATTCAGTGTTGGTTGAATTGGTTATAAGTAGATGGCTGATGGCGCTCAGGATGCCACCATGTTAGTTGACGTGGGATTTACTTTGTCACCAATTCATTAATGATTCGATAAAATTGTGTCGTTTAATTGTCATAGTTCAAGTAGACTATATGTGATTTTGCAATTCCATTCAAAGCTGTGAGTGCTAGAATAAAAGTCTTAAACCAGACTCGTTTAATTGTCATAGTTCAAGTACTATATTGATTTGCATTCCATTCAAAGCTGTGAGTGCTAGAATAACTTAAGTCTTAAACCGACTTGACTCTTTTTGCACCCTGCTCTCCCTGTTGGTTATGCATACTTGTACTTCTCTCTATTTTGATTGATTGAGGGGAAAACTACTAGTATTATCTTTCTTTGTTTTCAGTCTATTTGCGCAATCCCTAGATGGCATTGTTTTAACATAATGCTTTCTTCATGATTACTACATTTTCTAGGATAAAGAAGGTATCCCTCCTGATCAGCAGAGGTTGATTTTGCGGGTAAGCACCTGGAAGATGGTCGAACCCTAGCTGATTATCATCCAAAGGAGTCCACTCTTCACCTTGTTTTGAGGCTTAGGGAGGAACAATGATCAAGGTGAAGACTCTCACTGGGAAAGAAATTGAAATTGACATTGAACCAACTGATACCATTGATCGTAAAGGAACGGGTCGAAGAGAAGAAGGATTCCTCCAGTTCAGCAAAGGTACCTATTTTAAGTCTTCTGTTTTACTGAATGCATCTCTAGGTTACATGATTGATGACATGTTTTACATTATTATAATGATTTCAAATCCTGAAATTATTTTTCATTGGCTAATATAATGACTATTCTCCGAAGGTGTACAAGTACAAAAGACTTTACTTCACAGCCTTGTATACAGGACATAAAATTCGATGATCTTACACTTCTATGTTACTCTAAATCTAAAGCATGTTATTTGATGCACTTGGTATATTCATTATTATTATGTATTGGGAAGGCATTTCATGGTATAGATTCATATTTCAAGAGGGAAGACATGATTGGATCATAGGTTTTGTAAACATGTATGTGCTCCAATTTGTGACTTGTTTGACTGTCCAGTTCTTTGATTAAGTTCATACCATAGTGCTCTGGTTCTAGAGTTTGTTAATTTAATGCATTTGTTGAGCCATCTTGCCATTTTAATTTAATCCTGAATGTTTTGACATGGTATAGGCTTATATATGCCGGGACAACTTGCAGATGACAAGACAGCGCGTGAATACAATATTGAGGGTGGCTCTGTGCTTCATCTCGTGCTTGCACTGAGGGGTGGCTGTTTCTAGATGGTCCCTCAAATTTTGACGGAATCTGCTCCTATTTACTTTGGCATAAGAATTTAATGGGTTTGCATTTGATCTGTTGGCAAATACATGGAACATATGAATTGATTTTCTCAGACGCAGATATATTAGTATAAACATGTCTTCTTTGGATGGCCTGGCAAATCTCATAAGGATAAAAGTTTGAGAAAAAGGATCTATTTGATATTTTATCTATTTAATTTTGACCATTTAATTATTTTTTTTATAAAATCATACTTAAGTTTACATTATTTTTTAGAAAAATAGTCTGAAAAAATGGAGGAGGGGGAAATAATTTTTTTATGTATTTTTGATTGAAAAGGATCACCAAAAAGAAATCACCGACCATAAAAAAAACAAATAGAGAGTATAAAGATCACAGTTAGAAAATTATTAAAGAATCAAAATAATATTTAAATTATAATTCTAGAATAAAAATTATTCATTTTTATTAATTTAACAATAATTAGTGACGAATAATTATTTTATAGCAAATGATAACAATAATGACCGTAACATAACTAAGTTATAATATCGATAATAAAACTAACAACTTGCAAAAATATAAACAAGTCGAGCAGTTTATACATACACACTGTGTAGATTGGGAAATAGAAGGAGAAACTGGAAACGTGGAGGTATATGGAATATACAACTGGTGCAAAAGAAAGCATAAAAAATTGCAGACGACGACACCAACCACCGTTGTTTCATATCGCATTTGAGGGAGGACAACCAACTCCTCCCTTTTTCTACTTCGTTTCTTTATTTAATAATAAAAAAACTGCAATTTCGAAGACAATGCTCTGTCGTATGCGTTTGCCTTTGACATGCCTTTCTCCTCCCTTCATCTCTGTAAGCTTTCCTTCCTTTACCTGCTCATACTTCTATATTTTATGCTTGTATTGAATCTTCAATTCTCCGCTTTTTCTTTCGGAAATTTTCTATCCCAAGAATTTAAGCCCTTTCCCGCCATCTACTGCATATTTGTTTGTTGCTGCTGCTATCGTTGAATCAGGATGTAACACTTTCTATGTACTTAATTTTCTTCCTTCAGTCGAACTTGGAAACTCAATTTTAAGCTAATTAATTCCCACATTCTATGTAAATATATATTTTTGATTTTCATCTTCAGTCAATTTTCTGTCCACTCGTATAGAAAGCGTACTATGAAAGGTCTGCTAATTAAGTCAGAAGGTTAGCCTATGAGCATAAACGATTGCTGATTCTCAAATTTGTGAAATGAGCT